CTCAATAAAAAAGACAGCTATGCTCCAATATTTATATATATATATATATATATATATAATTTAAAATAGCGGTATTTTTGATGTAGTATGAACGATTTTGATGGTATAAATTTAGAAAGCAATGTTTGGGTGTTAGATATGTAAAAACATAAGAATTTGGTGATATGTATGTAAATGCGCCTTCTCATTTTCAGTACTCTGAGTTGTTAGTGCTGATTGTGCCCTTCCTCTAGAGAGTCCTTACTGTATCTTACTTAACACACTAAGATTTCCATTTATGACTTTCCACTCACCTGTTTTAACTCTACTACTTTTTTATCTTCTTATGTTGATTGCATAACAATACTCAACAGTTGAAATTTTATTGTTTTATATATTTACCTTTTTTCTTTTGCAGAAACGACCATCTTTGCCTTTAGCTCTGCTTCCTTTCATCTTCTTGGACTTTAGTTTCATTCTTCAAGAGAGAATGAAAACCTAATATTTATGCTATTATCATCCAAGAGATGCGTGGAGGTGCACTTTTAATTTATTTATGTTTCAGTTTGTGTCCACCTTTTTTAGTACTTCAATTCTTATTCTTGATTTTGCACTGCAATTTTAGATTGGGGCATTTGCATGCATACCACCCAGCTCTTATGTATTTACATATCTAACACTTAAAGTTCGGTTTTTTACATTTATAACACTCAAATATTTCAAATCACATTAAAAATACCACTATTATTAACTTATGAAATGCGAAATGCACCTTTAAGGTGGTATAAATGTAAAAAGGTAAAGCTTAGTGTTAGATATGTAAATTCATCAGAATCGTAGGATATGCATTGTAAATTCCTTTTAGATTTTGCTGGTGATTAAACTAGAATGTAAAAGCTTGATTAGCTTGGAAACACTAATACTCAGTAGCTTTTAAAATGAATTATTGAACAAATTTATGATATTGGTATATTACCATTTGGATATTTAGTTGAGGGTTGGTGTGATGTGTTTAGTAGGCTTGTAAATTAATACACCGGGATCTTATGGTTTTCCCGTTATTTGTTTGATTAGGATATATTTTATTTTTGGAAGATTTACATACATAGCACTTAATTCCTATGTATATACATATCTAACACCTAAAGTTCATTTTTTTACATATATGCCACCTGACTGATTGCATGAAAAGTTGTATGTCACTTTTAGAAGTTAAAATGATACTATTTCTGATATGATATGAAAGATTTGGGTGGTATAAATTTAAAAAATGATATTTTGGTGTTAGATACGTAATTACTTTGAAATTGGGTGGTATGTATGTAAGCGCCCTCATATTTTCCCGTGAAATTTACTCTGCAAATGGAAAATCGCATTGAAACTAAGGGTGCACTTGTTTTCACTTTTCGGACCACATTTTGGGTCAAAACCACGGTTCATACTTTTGTTTGCTATGTCAGCGGGAATTGCGCATTCGCCGCATAACATAAATTTGAGACTTAAAGGAAGTCGGAGGGAGATTGCGTCCCGCGGTTTGGATAATTTCATTCCAAACTTACCACAGTGATATTAATATATGTAATTATCCCTTATCAAATTCGTGAATTCGAGCTTTTTCATGCATACCGCAAAATTCTTATACACACACACACGGGTCCCAAACGCACGCTAAATGCCCTAAATGTCCACATTCACATTTGCACGTCTCTTATGCCTTCTTCAGACAAGCAAACAGAATCAAGCCGAAATTAATAGTCAATCATACAAAAGTGAACAATGAAGTGGAAGCATCACTCTTTGGGGAACCACCTCAGTTTTGGAACAAACTGTAGTAGGGCAATTTACATACTTACCACCCCATTTCTATTTATTTACATATCTAACACCTAAACTTTAGTTTTTTATATTTATACTATCCAAATCTTTTAAATCACATCAAATGTACCACCGTTTTAACTTTTAAAAAATGAAATACACCTTATCATGTATAGGTAAGGTGATATGTGTGTAAGAATTGAAGTTTGGGTGTTAGATATGTAAATACCTTGGAATTGAGTGATGTCTGTGTAAATCTTTCTTTGTAATATTCTTGAATGAAAGGTTTTCTTTTTTTTTTAAGGTAAATGAGGGAGGGTATTAAAGTTTTTCTATCATTTCTTTTTCTTTTTTGTTCATTGTTTTTGATAATAACAAGGAAAATACAGTAAGACAAAAATATGATAAAATTAGCTTATAAGACGTACGTTTAGACGTTTTAGTGCATATCAAGACTCTTGCATCCTTTGGTTGCCTTATGTCGAAATTTTCTTGCCTCAAGTGCTTGTTTGTTGCATATGTCAATGTTTTGTTGTACTTTTGCAACATAGTTGTTTTTTTTTTTTGTGTTGAAGGGATACATATAATATTACATGCAAATATTTATTTTATGTGGTTTGAAGGCGTGCCTTGATCAAAATATTTATGTTGAACCGACATGTGATTGCATATGAGAATAGAGTTGATCACATGATCACTTGTCAAACACTTATTTTTCTGTTCAATTTCTGTTTTCTGAGCCACTTTTGTTTTGCATTTCTATCCAACAGCTGAGAAGTTTGAAAAGGTTGATGTCAAATAAATGTGGCATTTTTTTTGTCCTTGGGTTTTTATCGAGCTCCCCCAAATAACTGTTAGTAGATTCAGCTTGGATCTCCATTTAAATGTCGATTGCATTATTAGATGATTGCATATTTTATCTAAGTTTTGAGTTTCTCTTTCATTCTATTGATTAAGCAATCTTTAATATTGAATACAATGATGTTGATTTCTGATCGAGTAAACTGTAGAGTGCCAAAATAGTCCACCAACAAAATACATTATGCCATTTTAGTCCCAAAGTTTATAAAAGTATTAAATTAGTCCTTGGACTGTATTAATGAGGGCCAAAATAGTTCTTATTGAGGTCTATTCCAATCCATGTTAAAAGAGTCGGGGGACTAAATTAATACTTTTATGAACTCTTGGACTAAAATTCTCTCCTGCAAGTAGTCGGAGATTATTTTGACACTTTTCTCATTTCTGATAATACTTTATTTAGAATTTTTCATCCTAAGCCATACCTTTGTTATTGACCAATTTTGATGTCACTACTGTTTTTGTTTGTACATTCAAGCTTTTCAAATTGAAATGCGCACTAAATAGGTTACAGTGATTGTCTAGAAAGTAGGAGGATGCAATTAGACATTCTTTTATTTGAAATTCTCACTTTTGTGGGGGATTTGCAGAAATATTTGACACTATGTAAGGGTTCTCTTGGTAGATGCTTCTAGGTAATCTGGCTTAATATTGAGAACAAATATCGTCGATTCATCAACGACTTTTTTTTTGTGTTCTCCCGTCGCTGCCCTGCAAGAATTTACATTATTAATGTTTGTTGTACCTCCAAAATTAATTATGGAATACATGTTTTTATGCTTTAGTTAAGCCAAATTCTCACTCTTAATTAATTTAAATTAAATTAAAAGGCTTTTAAAAAAGATTTTCTTACATTAATCAATTCATTTGTTTGATATCCTCCTGATTTGACTGGTTTGCAGCATGATTTTTGTATTGTTCCATGGCTTTCTCCACCATATCCTAATTATATCATTGGATGATGTTATGGAAAGTAATATATTAAGAAGTTTGATTATAGGAAATCTAATTAGAGGATATAATTACAAGATCTTTCCTCTATTATAGATATTCCTAATCTATAGAGATTGGGAGTGTGTGTGTGTGTGTGTGTGTGTAACATGTCTTTAATAGGAATAAGAAAGAAGCCTTTTCCGTTATATGGTATCAGAGATTCGTCAAATCATTCGTCTTTGTCTGCAACCTCTTTGTTTCCTTCTTGCAAGTTGGTCGACGAGTTCAACTGCTTCCTAAGAAGTAGGGCTTTAAATGAGCTGAATTTGAGTGAGCTTAGGCTTGACTCGTGTTCGGCTTCTTTGAAATTGGCTCGTGTTCAAAAATTGCTCGTGAAAAGTGTGTTTGTGTTTGACTCAATTTGCATATTCTTGTTTGTGTTTGACTTGAAATTGACTCATTTAAAGTAATTAAAAAAGTATATCTAGGCTGTTGGATTCAAATTTGTAACAATTATGTGCAGTAGAAGGCACAAAACTGCCTGACCACATGACTTGGTATGATTTAAATTTTGATATAAATATATATAATATATTATTATATAACGAATACATCTATATAACTAATACACGAATATGAGCTACTTAATGAGCCAAACTCGTGTTGTTGTCGATCAACGAGTTTTTTTGATAGCCCTATTAGGAAGACATCGTCTGCTTCCCATGAGTCTTTCTTCGCTTTGAACGATGTCATCTGCATCAACTTCGCCTTATGTTATGCCTGCATATGCTTTGTCCGCCCTATGTGCATCGATGAAATTAGGTCATCAACGAAATCAACATGTTTTGCTCTGTTTACGTTGTTGGTTGTTGTGCTTTGCTTGATTGTTATGTTCTGCTCGATCTATGTCTATTTACTCAAATCGTTGGGCTTAATTTTTCCTTTTATTTGGAGATAGTTGAATAGTGCGTCGGGGAATTATTTGTGTCCGAGTGCTTTGACACTTCATCCTTCAATACTTAATTACATCGATTATGACTGATGTACATAAACATCTTGTGACAGGTTTGGTTTCATCAGTGGCTAAGATTACAGATGAAAAGTTAAATGACATCAATTATTTTTATTGGAATGAAATTGTGACACTTTATTTAAGAATTATTTCTTAAGAGAGTCATCTCATTGATAATCCTTCTGTTGAGACCGAGCCAAATTATTTTTAGTGGATGAGAGTGGATGCTCAGCTTCTGATACAATACTAAATTCTATTGAACTTGATCAATCTAGTCATATTACTCATCACGATTGTGTTAAAGATGCGATCGATGAATTGGCATTCATGTTTTATGGGAGAAAATATTTTTCAATTATTTGATGTATGCAATAAATTATATCGTGCTGAACAACAAGATCTGTCACTTAACACGTACCAAACGCACTTTAAACATGTGTATGTAGAATTAAAGACACTATTACCCTTTATTATTGATGTTCGGTTTCAACTGACTCAAAGTGAATAAATAGCTATCATGAGTTTTCTAGTTGATCTTATTGCTCGGTATGAAGGTGTTAAATCACATATTTTATCTGACCTTGGATGCACTTCTCTGAGGGAAGTCTATACTATGGTACTGCTTATGATTCTGAGTTCTCATACCTCATCATTACAACAATCTAGTGCTTTTTCTAGTCAGAAAAATACAGACATCAGTAAACTTCAATTTCAGGACAATTGCAGAAGTGAAACTCAGAATTATGGAAATCGAAGGTGGTGTGATATTATTTTCATGAACGTGGTGATAGAAACAAAATATGTGAGAAGTTGCTCTAAAAGAGTCAGAAGGTCTAAATCATAGTCAGCTCACATTGTCACTACTACTCACACTACAAGAATTAAACAAATTTGCGTCGGCCAAATTAGATGCAAATCGAAGGCAAATCCGACGAATTTGAGGTTTATCGTTAGATTTGCATCCAATTTACCTCCGATATTTTTCTTAGGTAAATCAGAAGTCGGCAATGTTAATTCCGTAAATTTTGCGTCGGAATATTTCGATGCAAATTATTTGCGTCGACTTTTGCGTCGTAATCATGTCTAATTTGTTTAGATTACACGTGCTTCGAATTTTGCATCTGAAAATCTCAGGCGATAAAGTATATCGTCGGTTTATCGTTGAATTTGCGATAAATAATATCAATGAATGACGAAATATTATTGTCATTTTAGCATCGAATTTTTCGATGAAAAATGGATGTAAATCCGACGCAAAATTGTGCTACGAAAAAAATTCAGAAGACCAATTACATTTTTCACAACTTGCACGGAACATATAACCACATCACATACCATATTATATCCAGCCATATGACATATCAAAATTCTAAAACAATTCGTGAATTAAAAAGAATATAATGTCACAAATCGTCCCAAATAAGAATAAGAAATTTAAAACTCCAGAAGGAAAATAAAAGATTCAAGAAATAGAGGTTGTTGCCAAAGCAGGAGAAAATTAAAACTCGAACGATTTAGGGCATCAAGTTCATATTCTTGCAGAGGTGAAAAAATATGAAGGGCTTCAGATCTCATAATCATATTTCAAATCAATGAAGATAGATGGCTCGGAAGGGAGAGTTCTTCAACTAAGGAGCAAATTGGGGGAGTTCTTCACCTACCAATAGAGCAAAATCTTAGACCAGAAGAAAAATTGGTCGCCTGCTTTAGCTATGAACTGAAGATTGAACGAATTAGGGCATAGGGGTTATCTTCCAACAAAGATCACACAAGAAGAATGAATGAATGGGGCGGTGCGAGTTTGTTGTTTTCTGCGTGAATTTGGGCCAAGAGGTAACGGAGGATTTACAGGGTGCCATATTAAATTAATTCGATATGCTTTAGGTGTGAAATTCGTAAATAAGAAGTATTGAGTACAAAATACGTAATTTTGGAAGTTTCGAGTGCTATGTATGTAAAAACCCGCTTAATATTAGTAAAGAAAAAATTTAACTTAATTAAGTGAAATTATTTATTTTACTAAATAGGATTTATTATTTAATTGCTTAATAAATTGATAATTAATGATTAATTAGTTTAGTAAACTTTGAATTAATGATTTATTAGCTTAGTAAATTACTAATTAATAATTAAGATAATTAGAAATAATAAAGAACTTCAATGAAATTGATTTAGCTTTAATAATTTAATAATTTCATCATCAATACTCATTATTCAAATCATATGAACTAACACATTTAAATCTTGAAATAAGTTTCCAAATAATCTTACAAGATTTAACTGAATTTTGCGTCTGTCATGCAAATAATTATTGTGAGTTAATCACCTCTGATTTAGTAAATCCGAATTGATAGGATTTACGAAAGTTCTATTTGAATTAAATCTTATAAGTCGCCAAACAACCTCTTAAACTGTTTGGCGTAACAACTATTAAACCTTGCTAAGTGCTAATAATTTGTTTAGTTATTTGTTTATGATTTAAGATTTGTGAGAGGTAGAAATTCTTAAATGTGTTAAACCCTGTGACTGGCTGGACTTGACAAATACGGGATTTAACCAATTATGCATTAAAGCAAGGTTTATCCAAATAATGGGATTTAAAGTTCCTTATTGAAATTTATGATTTCTCTACTGGAATATTCCTTTTTCTTTTCCGGATTGTTGTATTTGAATTCTCATTTCTTCGCAATCCCTTCTCTTTAGCTATTTGAATTCTCATTTCTTCGCAATCCCTTCTCTTTAGCCGTTTCATTTGTTGCATTTCTGCTCTCGGGTTTTGAAAAATGGTTTCAACAACAACAACAACAACAACAAAACCCTTATCCCACTAAGTGGGGTCGGCTACATGAATCCTTTTTCTTCATGGCTCTCGGGTTTTGAAAAATGGTTTAATTATTTAAAAATTTTAGCAGATCCTACAACCCCTAGCATCCAAACAATATTAGTAGTGGTTTTCTTGGCTTCTTTGGTAATGATAGTGCTAATATTAAAGTTGGTATATGTATAGGGGATTTGATGGATTTTAATTACTCACATTTCTCAGTATTTTTTATATTTTCTATTTATTTACGTTGACTTCCGCACTAGGTTTCTTGTTAGAATGGCTGCAGAGATTTAGTTTGTATGTTTACTTTTTTTTTTTTTTTTTTTTTAATCAGAAGGTCGCTGAAAAAATGGTTATGCATGCTTCAAATGGTGCCTTTATTTATTGATTTTCCAGTAATTGTTGGTTTTCATGGTGAGTATTCAGATCTTATTTTGCAAAATTCAAAGCTTCTACTTATGTCTGTTTCTACTTCAATGCTTCTTTTTTCTAACAAGTTTAAATTAGCCATCACCTCCCATGTTTCTTCCTTGTATCTCCATTTCTTATCTTGGCTGTGATTTCAACTTTATTTTTTTAAGGAGCATTTACCTACATGCTACACAATTCTTGTATTTATTTCTCTAACACCTATACATTCATATTTACTTACATACCAGTTAAATCTTTAATATCACATAAAAAATACCACCATCACTATCATTTTAAAAGTGAAATGCACTTTTTCATTCATAGATTTATGATACCAATGTGTTATAAGTGTAAATATCAAACTTTGGGTTTTAGATATTTAAATACATAAGAATTATGTATTATGTATGTAAACCCTTTTTAAGTTATTTTCTTTCCAAATTTGATTTGAGTAACTCAGAAATGAGTTTCTCTTACAAGTGCCTTTTGTGCCCATTGAAACCTATGTAAATTATAAGAGTTCTGATTTTTTCAAGGTAATTGTGACCTTTGTTTGTGCCAGTTTAGATTCAGCGAAGAAATGGACGACGAGAACGGGCTCGAGCTAAGCTTGGGCCTCTCTTTTGGTGGATCGTCCTCTAAGTCCTCTAAGTTTAAAGTTAAAGATCTGCCTTCAGAATGTAAAGGTGATGAAGGAAGTTCCAGTAGGCTCATGGGAGGCAATGTGTCGATATCCGACGAGTCATTTAAAAACTTCTTTAAATGCTGTTCGGAGAACGTAGAATCTAAAGGGAAACAGAAGAGCGATCTCGTTACTCAACCCCCCGAGAACTTCTTTACAGACCTCGCTAAATGCCCCACATCCATGTCTGATTATTCTAACGATGCTCGAAACAATCTCGTACAGTTTACAAGGTATCAAGAGCAGTTGTCATCTAGTAATCGAACTATTGAAACTGAAGATGAGAAATCAGGTCCTGCTAAACGGAAGCTGCCCTTCGAGGAGATAAATTTTCCAAGCAAGCATGAAAAAAAGTCCACCGGAGCATTAATAAGAAACTCACATGTTTCGAACACCACGGAAGACGGGTCTACCGGTGAAAACGAAGATGTAGCAGAGTCGGAAGCTGAAGATCCTCAGTCACGGCTGGTTTCGCGCCGAGAAGAAAGCATGAAATGCTCCGACACTTTAGTGTTGAGTGGTAAAAATGTGCCAAGTGAATCACGAGAGCCAAATTTATCAGGAAAGGAATCTAATCCTGAATATGGAAAACCTACATTTGGAATTCCGCTGTCCCTCCAACCACTAAAAGTCATGAACATTCCTTATCCCGTTATGGCTTCAGCAGCAAATACAAACAGCATGCAGCTTGCTTTTGGTTACCCTCCTGCGCAGCTTCCAACACTGGAGACGGGTTCGTCGTGGGCGTTTAATTCGCAGCCTCTGAATGCTTCATCTGTTACGAGACGAGAACAGTCTACTGGAGTTCCGGTACAGGAGCATTTTGAGGATGGTGCAAAGACGTCTCAAGGTCATCTCTCTTTAATCTGACTAATAATGGAACTTTTCATCCTTTTTTCTGTAACCTTTTTCTTTGATTTTTGACTTAATTTTTTGTCTATCGTAGTTGTTATTCCATAACGAGCCATTTTTTATAACGGGGGCAATCACATGCATAGCACTCGAAACATTGCTTTGTTGGAATCTAGCATCCTCTTTCATCCATTTTTCAAATTCACTAAAACATCAAAATTCATGATGAAGACCCAACCCATATTTCTCGTTTTTATCAAATTATGGATGGTTTTGATGGTGGCACACGGAAATGCATGGGTTTGGTAGTTCAAAAAAATCATCTAGGTGCCAGTTTTGTAAATAACAATGATTTGAGTGCTGTGAATGTAATTATATCTTTTATGAGAAAAGTGTCAAAATAGTTCACTGACTTAGTATTATTTTAGTCCCAAGCTTTATAAAGCGCTCTTCTCGTATTTTTATAATTTGGGCTGAAATATCCTGGAAGGTCTATTTTAGCCCTAATTAAAAGAATATGTGGACTAATTTGACACTTTAATAAATAGACCCGGGATTAAAATGATCCCATGTAAATATTTGGGGGACTGTTTTGGCTCTTAACTTATCTTTTATTTTTTCTGTTTCCCATTTTACCCCTTATGACCTGCTTAGGAGATTTTTTTGCCATCCTTTTGGATTGGTTTTCTGTTATCAAGCCCCATTCTATATTCTTAAAGATACACATTTATTGCAGAGGTTTTATTTATTCTTACATACCTAGAGAACTTACATTTATGCATAGATACACCTAGCTTTCCATTCCAACAACAGCATTTCAATGCAATGATCTGACGTTCAACAGCCAAGAGAATTGTTACTGATCAAGATTTTGGTAGAATGTGTAAAAAGATTAGGAGACCTCCAAAAATTCTCAGATGATTGATTTCTGTTCAGATTCGTATTAAATCCAGTAAAGATCGCACTAAGTTTGCTTAAACTAAATATAGTCTTACTAGGGCTAGTTTGTTCCTCTCAGGCTTGCTTGAATTTATTCAGGATTTTGAATCATTCAATCTTTGTTTGATTTGCTTAAATAAAGCCTAATCCCATTCAAGCTTTGTACATCTACTTAAATCAAAGTTCATTCAATTTCGTCAAGATTAATTTAATTTGCTTGTTTTAAACTTAGATTATATCGTAGCCCGGTCAATCTATTCTTTTGAGTTTAATTTATTTGTTCTATCGAGTCCTATAATAATTTAATTATAATTCGGTAAGTCTGTGATTTTGATCAACTTAATGTGGGAGAATTAAGTAAGCATTATGACATTGGGTTCACTCGCTTGCTAGCAAACTCCAATATTATTGGCATGGTGCATATCAAATTTTAGTTGCATTATCTTAGGAGAATCTAGTCCCATTTTCTAGTAGTTCTAAAATAGTGTCCGATATACCAAATCAAGCTAAATGAAGTTTAGTTTGAACGATTGAATCTCCATACAAGCCTAAATTTGAGTTTATTCTAGAAAAGATTAATCACTAAAACGATGAGCTAATATTGGCTTATTCAAGTAGTAATCACACCAGTCCCTGTGGGCTAATTTAAATTACGTAGAAGTGAGTATCTTAGTTACGTATCAAACAAACCATGCATTGTTCAGAATAAGATCATCTTGCCATCCACATCCAACAGTTTAATGCCACATCATTATTTATATAGAAGGCTTAGCTATGTTTGCACAAGGATGCAAATATCTGCTCTGAGATTTAGTCTCGTACTGCTAGGAAGGCATGAGACAGGCCCTCACTCTGTTCTATATGTTGTTGTTTTAAACACCATTGAAGCAAGAAAATTCTATGAAGCATTTTCAAGCTTTTATGGTGCAAGGCGATCAACTAAATTTTTCCTTTTACCTCCTTTCATCTTGCACAAGCACTTTGTTGTACATGCTTTTCTTGGCATGATGGTGGGCACTTTGCTTCGCCTTATCTCTGACTGTTATTGGAGTCAATCATTGATGTCTTTTTTGATTTGGTGGGGCAACTCAAATCTTTATGGCTGCAACATGCTATCCACAATTATAGATAATTTTTGTTGGTGGTCTTTGCCTTTTTTTGTGCAACTGTAACTATGGGAAAACTTGACATCATAATCCTTGTTCCTCTTAATTTATGGATGCATACATGTTTTCAAAATTTCAATTAAATTTGGCAATTTAAACTGTGGACAGCCTTGGTTACTCTATTGTACGTGATTGCTTGCTAGTGCATTTTTGCATGCTTGCTTATCCATCGTGCTTGCTTACCTTTTTTTCCAACGCACACTCGTTTACTCGCCAATTCACCAACCCACCCATCTTCACACACATGCTTGCCAATGTAAGGTCACCTACTGGTAAGTGCACACCCCGAATTTGGGGTTTAATAAATGCTCGACATGCTAACCCAAATAGAAAAAAATTGGGTTTAGGTTGACCCATTATTTAGTTAGGTTCGTGCCAAGCATGTAGAACCAATAATTATTTCAATTAGTTTGTGTTGGCATGAATAATCGAAAATTGACTTGATTTCTATTTAGATTTTGATTAATTAGATTGTAAAATAGACATGTATATTACTAGATGTAACGAGCCATATTTGAGTCTAAGTCCCTTTTTGCTAGTGCATTGATGTTTGTTCAAAACAGTAAATAAATAAGTTTGTAACATTTTAAATACTCAAAGGTTAAATGAACCAAATTTGAATATAGTCCAACTCATTTATTAATGTTTACAAATAAGTTCGTTTGTTCTATATTTTATACTTTTATGATATATTACTTAAATAAAATCTAATTAATTTTGACTTAATTTAATATTTAATAGTAGCATATTATAATTTAGTGTCAATGTGCATATAAACTTAATACAATGTCTTCTTATTTTATTATTTTAATAAATTATTTTTTTAAGGCTTATTTATATTATTTGAATGTAAAAAAGCTTGCTTATATGTTTTATTTATTTGGTATAAACTAGCGGGATGTTAATTTGAAATTTATTAAATTTTAAATTAATTTAGATTTGTAAAATTATATATTAATACTTAACTACTCATCATAAGCGCTTGGCTACTCGCGAACTTACTTATTTGCTCGTTTACTCTCCTATTTGTTCATGTTCATTCACTCACTCGACCATACATATTCACCTATTTGTCCATGTCAACTCAAATCTTGCCAATGTGCTTGTGCGATCTCGCACGCCTAGCAAGTAGAATGCACATTTGCATATAGTTCAATTTATAAATCTCATGCATTTGTAATTATATGTCCAAGTCTTCTTACATTTCTTTCTTGATGAGTTGGGAAGCTCCCCACATTCGTTATCCTTGCAATGTAAAGTAGGGGAACATAGTAGCATTCGACAACTATATAAAATTTGTTTGCTTTTAGAGGTACTCAAACCTGTTTTTTGAAGTGATGGGAATACATATATCCAATGCATGTCTTTCTTGACTAGGCAGGATAGAAAACAAAAATGTGTTTATTGATTCTTCTGCATCAAACTATACATGCTTTTTTTGTGTGATGCAATGGCTTGGCACACTTCCCTAACACCCCTTCTAGAGGGTTAACGCTAAAGCATTGTTGAAATTCCTATTGAAATCCTTTGATCTAGCCTTATAAGGAATGATCCAAGGCTTCCCATTATTGTATTAGGGTTCTTTAAACTGAATGGATTAGGAACGGCTGAGCAAACCTAATCAGGGGTTTGGACCTCTAATTTTCTCTTTAGGTTAGGTTATGTCATGGAAGGGGATCTACTCTTTTGGAAAGGTTATGGGAATGCTAGAAGATGTGTTTAGGTGGAGTTGATAAAAACCCAAAAAATTTAGAGGTGTGTAGGTTGATTGAAATCAAAATTAAGTCAGGGAAAATCTTTCTTTTTCGATTGGCCTAGTTTGGATTTGTAGGGTTAAGAGATGAGACTAAGGGCATATGATGTAATGGCTCGAAAATGTTAGATGGGTGTGTAATAGATTTAGAGGGTTAACTAGGGAAGATGACTAAAATTATGCACTAGGAACTCTACCCAAATTCGACTAAAAGAATTCAGGTTTAGCTGGACCTTACTATTTGGTTTGAATTTTGGTTTAAATTATATACATGATTATTATTTGGGTTGAATTTGATTTGATCCTAATAAATCAAAATTAAATCAGAAGTGAACTGATTGCTATTTGGTTGGGTTAGGCAGGTTTTGGTCATATTTCTTGGCTTCAGTCAATCATATTCGTTAATTGGGTCGTATTGACCTGAGGAAAAAATATATAATCCATATAATAATCATAATAGATGATTCAGGTTCAGATTATGTTGGTTGGTTAAATTTTGTTTATCCATATTATAAATGGGTCAAGTTTAGGGCAAACATAATATGTCAAGCTGAATTAATACACCTATTAGGAACCATTCTTTGGCTGATTACTCCTAATTATGTTTTTATCTTTGCGTGATGTCTGAAAAGGTTGGAAAATGGCATGATAAATTTTAGGGATGTTGGGGTACAAGCATAAAGAAAGGAAGAAAATAGGACAAAATGATACCTAACTCTCTCTAGAGGTGAAGTCTAGAGGGCTGTCCACCAAGCTTCAACCATGTATAATTTATTCTCTAATTTTCTTTTAAACTAAAAGAATGTTAACCAAGTCTAAATTCCGATATTACCCTTTGATGGATGATAGATCCACTGATCACAAATACAAATAAACTGCAGCTCCTATTTTTTCTTCTGCTGAAGCTGCCAAAATCCAAGTTTTGAATCTAATATTAAAGTTGATAGCCTTGAGAAAAACGGTGATTGAAGCCTTCTAATTATTGTGATGGGAGCTTAATGATGTTGTGAATCCTCTTGAGTGATAGGAATAATTTTATTTAAAGTGGAGGTCAAGAGGAAGATGTTGGCCAAAAATATATAACAAAACCTAATCCTAGATGTCTTTATGGGGATTTAGGGTTTATTATAGTGGAATACT